GAAGTTTTCAGTTTTATGATCTATTTCTATACAATTATAGAAGAATCTAAAGAAAAAAAATCTATAGAAAAAATCCCGCCAGGAAAACCTAAGGGAAGTCTGTACTCTTGAACTTACAAGAGGGTTTTCTGTTGTTGTTAGTGTTTGCTCATTTGTTTTTCAGATACTACTTCCAGATTTCCTCAAACTCCTGAGATAACTACTGCCTAACTGCCTATGCGTTTCAACTCAAGAGTGTCCCTAGTATGCAAATTAGTAGTCTGTTAATGTTAACTGTAATGTTATTAGGGCATCATCTAATGAGAAATGCACAGTGCATTAGTAGAACTGATAGAAAATTTTGAATTCTCCCTAATTTCCTCAATAAATAGATACATTCAGAGATGTGGGGTGTTCACTTTACTTCCTGGCCACTATGGCATGATGTGAGTCATAAAATACTGCAATTACCCTATATCACCTGTGAAGACTTACTCTGCATTGGCTCCAGTGGGCGTTATTACGTATTAGGTTAAATGCAGTCACAGAGCACCAACTAACAGTAAAAGGTACAGATCAGTACTACTCATAAAGAAAGCCCGTTCCTAAATATCCGAGATGGGTGCCCTAGAAAAATAAAGTTAATTGTTTGTTTCCTCTGAGACATTAGTCAATGAATATGTCCTTAGACCTCAGTGGATTTCTGATCAGCCAGTCACTTCTTGTTTTAGAAAGAGTCTCTTTCTGATTTGGGTCTAGCCTGGGTCCTCTACATGGAGTCTATCTTGCTACTGAGGCTGTTGCCAAATTGTATACAGCACTTCTGCCTCAGCACAAAGAAATCTCACTAACCTCTTAGATGTCCTCAAAATATCAATGTGAAGGTTTCCCCCACTTACATATGTCTAATGTTCCTCCAGCTGCTTCTCTGAGACTGGCAGGTATCATTTTGCATCCCTCAGTGAAAGTGCTGTAAAGTGTATATTGAACTGGTTTCCAGCTGTGTTTGTTTGGGTAAGAATATTTTCTTCTGCTCGCAGCACAGGCAGCTATTTGGGATTCTTGTCAGAGTTTTCTCTTGATGTAGCTTCCTTGTATGTAGTTCTTCTGTAAATGCTTTCAGCATTCATTGTCTTTTTATCCTAAGACTGTTTTTAGCATGTCTCAGAGAGGGATTTTGTAGATGAGTATCTGAACTACCAAACTTAAAATGGCTTGAGAAGTAGCATTGAGATGAACCGAGTAAACTTTTTTTTTCCAAATAAAGCTACATTCGTCAGCTTTGTTGAAGTCTTCGCAAAAATTTCTGTAAAAATTTGAAAGGTATTTACTTTTTTAAATGCAGATTCCCTTTACCACCAAATTCTCCTCTAATTTTAATTTAGTATTCAATTAATTGCCTTTCTTTATATAATGTGTAATAAAGCATGTATTATTATATATAATTATTATAAGTTAAATATAATTTAAAATACAATTAGTTTTATATATAATAAATATTTTGTCTGGAATCAAAAGAGACATTGATCTGAATCCAGAATTATTTTAATTTTAATGCACTAAACATAAATATCTTAAAATTATACTTATGTTAGGTCAACACAAAGAATATTTCTGATTTTGTTTAAAACAGCTGCCCAGTGCTGAATGAGCTGGAGTCCCTGGGGTCCACCAGATAGCTTTCTGTGACTTATCCTCCTTTTCTGCTAACCACTCTGTCTGCACGTGTTAGGAACTGACTATTTGTAGCTTTAAATTGAATAGCAAAGGAACTACATGTATTTAATGTCATATCATTTGTAGACTCTTATCTATAATTAATTCATTTAAAAGCTTGTGACAATTTAGTATTCTGTTACACTGCTGCTGTATGTGTTGCATCCTCCTTATTTAAGGACATATTTCTACCTTGGACTCTGTCTTTAATTGCTTACTATGAATGGCTAGGAAGATCACCAGAGTGTATAATAATGTTGATAAGACATTGTACACCTCTAGGAATCTTGCCTGATCTCACAAACTGATCCCTACTGTATTCTTATTCTCCCACTTTAGGTTGTTTGGGATATTTCCATTTTGTCTTAAAATAGATTGTAACCTCTTCCAAACACAGCCTTTGTCTTCTGGTGTCTGCAGTCTAGAATGACAGTGCACCCATCCTTGGATGGGACTTCTTGGTGGTACTGCAATGTAATATTTTCATATAGGTTTTAATACGGTGTACTAAATATGATTTTAAAATAATGAGATAAAATAAAGGCATTCAGAGGTGTAACTGATTTTTTTAGCAGTAAAAAATCTGTAGTGTATTTCTACAGGAAAAATGGGCAGTTACCTTCACTGCTCATATATTGTGTGTCTTGTTCCATTTGGATGAGTTATTTTTTAAACCCTAATAGATTTATCACCTACAGGTTACTTACTTTTGCAATATGTCGTAGCCCTTTCCGTTCTGCCTAACTGGCTGCCCCTGTAGCAGTCTTCTCGTACTGTCCCTGGCCCCACTCAATAGCCTGAATTCACCTAGGGGGAGGACAAAAAGCAGAAGGAGTTCTCCAGCCGGGCTGTAGTGTGACCCAGAAAACACACAACAGCAGCCTTTCCAGGTAGGGCAACCTCAACCTTGGCTGAATCTGGGTCCTAACCCACATTTCAGTGGGGACAGTGATTAGCAAGTACATAGCCCCTACGCCCTCCACTTACACAGCAGCTCTCAGAAGTTTTTTAAGAGCTGAATTAGGTGATGGTCAGCAGATGAATTACTGCTCTCAAACCACTGTAAAAACTTGAGTACACCCATGACAGTCTCCTTTCACTCTCCCAGAGAGCAGAAGGGTAGGCAGTTTCTGGCTAGAATTATTACATTAAAAAAAAAAAATAAAAAAAAAAAGTTTAAATTGTGGGAAAGTCTAATTGGTAGGAGTAAGAGAATACAAATGACAGAAAGACTTTTGACCAAGGTCTGTAGTGACAGGACAGGGGGCAATGGTTTTAAACTGAAAGAGAGTAGGTTTAGATTGGACATAAGGAAGACAATGATTATGATGAGGGTGGTAAAACAGTGAAACAGATAAGTTGTGGATGCCCTGTCACTGAAAGTGTTCAAGGTCAGGTTAGACAGGATTTTGGGTAACCTGATCTGGTGAAAGATGTCCCTACCCATGGCAAGGCGGTTGGACTAGATGATGTTTAGAGGTCCCTTCCAACCCAAACTATGTAATTTTAACTTGAGTTTTTGTTAGACTGAGGTTTTCATTTGTTTAACCTCTTTTTCTTTTTTTTTGAATCTTTCTTTTATTATAGCTTGTTGGCTTTTACCAAAGGAAAAAAAAAAAAAAAAAGAGTTGCAAAGGATTGCATCCTCTTATTTGCCCATTGGACTCATCATTGCAATTTCTTGAGGGTAAATTTTGTCATGGAAGGATGATTACATGCTTTTCAGACCAATTTAATTTGATGTAACAATACTGTAACTGTTGCTAAATCTTCCAGAGAGATTCTGTAGAATATCCAAATTAAGCGCAATAACCAATCCATGTCTGTACTTTAATAGTAGCTCACTGTATTTTATTTTGGATAACACACTTGTACTATTTAAAATTTGTAAAAATTATCTGACAAAAAGGTAGATTTGTCCTACAAAAAAGTAAAGCATTTTTATTAATAATGAAATATTGTGACATTCTAAATGCTAGTATAATTTCACAAATGTGTTGAATCATGTTATCATGGGGAACAGGGGACTCTTTATCTGCAGAAGGTCTAGTCAAGAGAGGCCTAACATCAAATGGAGTTAATATACAATTTCCTATAATTTGGAGTTTAACCACATTGCTGTTGTAGGTGGGCAAGAAAGAATTCTGTGATACCAAGCCTGAAATCATTTAATCAGGAATGTAAATCAGTTATGTGCTTCAGTTACCAAATGTTGATAGAATTGGCTATGGTAGATTGTTGTTTTTTAATTACAGCTGCTCTGTAATGCTGTTGTGTTACCAGGTTCGAAGAAGGAAAATAGTATAGCATGGCAGTTTGCTATGCCAAATGACCACTGCTACTGCCAAGTATAAATCCTACCAGGAGTGGGTTCTTCTATAGGATGATAACCATGTCCCTAAAGTAACGAATGCCACGCTTCCCTATATGTATTTATGTTTGGATAATTTATTTAACTAATGTTCCTAGTACATGCTTTATAGCCTTCTGCCTTTTGCTACACAAATTCTAGCTTATATTGCAGACTGTTCAAGTCATTTGGCAAATGTAATTTCCATCCCTGCATACTAATCGATTTCTTCACAAACACCTGCTATCAGTTATGATAATAAAAATGCCATTCTAAATTGAAAAGGGGCCAAATGGAGCTTCCTAAGGAAATGACTTAAGTGTCTTTCAATGCCTTTAATGTAGTAATGTTCTTGTAGTGCAACACTTTTTTTGAGCATTTGCATTTTATATAATTTTACTCTATTACATCATTTTTCTGTCTAAATGGTTCCTCATAACCATTGCTACGAAGTAGTTCATAGCGAGATTGGAGAGGAATTTCTGTGTTTCCTCTCTCGTGGGACTAAATCTAGCAACTTTACGTAGTCAAAATTCCTTAGCACAGATCAGATTGGAACATCTGGCTGCTACACTAGTATAAATACTAAATAGCTGTATCAGTTCCTATAACATCACTGGGAGAACGTTGTAAAGTTGGTGGGTGCCTTGCCCTTGGACTGCATGCCACTTTCTTCCTAAAATATAAGCCCAAATTTAGCAGCCAGATTGCAAGTAGTGTTTGAATTATCCAGAGTTGCTTTATGGCTCCTTCTATCCCAGGAAATAACTTCCCAGCAACAGTCTTTGCCAGAACCTAATCATTTTCAGCTCTGCTGCGTCTTGTCTCGGCTCTGAAATGTCTCACTGGCTTTCAGCTGTATTGTCATTTCCCCTGACAATGTCCTCTGCATTATTTGTAAGGAAACAATCCATTTTACTGATTTCTTCACATTTTCATTTTCTCTTAGCTCTAGCCGCCCAAGCATATGCGCTAAAGGAAGAGAACGATAGTCTTCGATGGCAGCTGGATGCTTATAGGAATGAAGTGGAGCTCCTGAAACAGGAGAAAGGACAACTCTTTCGAACAGAAGAAAGCCTTACAAAGGACCAGCAGCTGCAGTTCCTACAACAGACAATGCAAGGCATGCAGCAGGTATTGCTAAGGAAGAAAAGAACAGGCCTTCTTTTTTAGGAAAGGGGTACCATGGCGCTGTGCTGTACTCAAGACTATTAGTCATGAAGGCCCTGATTTCTTTTCAAAGTCAAAATCTTATGGATTTTAGATAGGAAAAAGGAGAGGAGAAATTGGAGAGATATTTAAAGACAGTCATTTTAGGAATTCATAAACTGTAAACCCATTGATCATTCAAGAAAACACCTTATGTGTGTTCTAGTTAGGAGCAAATTACTTCGGTACATCCCCTGTTGCTCTCCTCACTTAATCCAATTGGCCCGAATTCTGTACAAAAGTTCAAGAAAGTTTGTCCAGTGTAGCAGAGCCAGTGTTTGGTGGCTTCATTTGCATTCATATGCATCTTTAGATGCATCTCTGCTTCTCAGCTTTGTCTTTTTTCTGCTCTTGTTTAAGGATGACTGAGACATCTCCAGCTTGTCCAGACTACCCTCCTGCTAACTTGCAAGTGGATAGCAACATCAATGCTATCTCCCAAGCTTTTATCATTTATAATGACCCAGGATGTAACCTTTTCATTCAGCCAATTTTTTAAGCAGTTTAGTGCAGCAACAAAGCTTTTTCTCTGACACTAGTCAGCAAGAAACTACCAATGTGTTGCTGCGGGGGGCAGCGGGGGGGCAGTTTGTCATAAGCATTCTCCCTTATTTGTTAGTGTGCTCCTGACATTGTGCTGGGCAAGTCTTGGCAAGCCCATCCAGACTGCTCCCACTGGTCCGTCTGACAGGTCTAACTAACTAACATATATGCACACCTTACTCAACATGCACGTCTATAACAGCTTTTCTGCCCAGACACTTGCATTCAGCTGATATGTGACAGAGCGCAAGGGCATTGGCTCACCACGACACTAGATTGGGCTCCCATCTAAATGGAGCTTCTCGAGATGTCACTGCAGAGGTTAATTTTGCCTCCTTCATCTGTGCCCTGAAGCAACACGTGCATTCCTCTATCACTCCTGGTTGTTAGATTCCAGAAGGGGACAAGTTGTACCCATTTCCAGATTGTACTGACCTACTTTTTCATGACAAAAACCAGGAGACATTAATTTACATATGAGCTGCCTGGTTGGGTTAGGAATTGCATGGCTATCACAGTACCCATCGAATTCAACAAGTCTGCAAATCCCACCTAACACCAAATAACAGTGCACAAGACAAGCCTACATGTGTCTTTATATGAACATAAGCCCCTTTCAGCCTGCAGAGTTTAAAAAATTAGGGCGATTTACGGTATAGTGGGATAATTCTAAACAAAATATTTGAAAAATAGAAAATAAGTAATTGATAATTCAGGAATAAAATCTTTCCCGAATTTAGGAATGAAGTCATTAATCAGAAGTACTTGAGGTTTCAGTATACTTGAGATCTGCTTGAGATCTATTCATGATCTATTCTGGGTGAAGAACTGGCTGGCCGGCTGTG